GGAGGTGGGCGGCCCAGCAGGGTGTTTAGAGGAATGTGCATCTCTCACATGCACACATACAGTTGCACCTCATTAGTCAGTTAATCTCAGTTCTCATGCCTCCTCGTCCAGATTTAAAAGCGATCTGGTGGTGTTTTATCAAGACTAATGAGAGATGAGGAGGTCTATGACAAGTGATGAGCAGAAATCAATGCATATTGAGCAGCAACATCTGATAAATGGTGATATAGTCAAAGCTAATGGCAAGATCCTTGCAGGGATCGATCCAAACACCTTCCACTTAGCTTTACCTCTGGCACACATCTGAAGATAAAGATATTGTTTTTTATATGCAGAATGTCATATATGAATAGGAGGAAAAAGAAACATTTTCCCTATTTTTTTTTGTTGTTGACATCAAATGTTGTAAGTTGATTTTAAACTCTATTATATTTTTGTCATAAATTCATCACTTGGTAGAAACTTGCCAATAGGTTCTATGACAGATTCTGGCTTTGTTGGGATTTTGCAGTTTATGTTAATATTATATATTTCAGCGATTATTTTAAAGACACTACCAGTCAAAAGTTTGAGGTCAGTTTAAAAAAATAATTGATTTTTGAATTGAATATTGAATAATTAAAAGTGGTGGTGCAGATAAATGTTGCAAAAGATTTTTATTGCAAATCAAAAAATTCAGATTTTTTTTATCACAATTTCCATATAAATATTTAGCAGCACACTGTTTTCAAGACTGATAATAATAAGAAGAAATTCTTGAGCAGCAAATCAGCATATTAGAATGATTTCTGATGGATCACATGACACTGAAAATTCAGCTTTGCCATCAAAGGAATAAATTACCATTTAAAGTATATAGAAAGAAAAACAGTTATTTTAAATTGTAATAATATTTTTAAAATTTTTATTTTATATTAAAATTTGTGAGCATTTCAAATTTTTTGCAAGTGCATTTGTCAACAATTTTGGTGTGCGTTGAGTCGCCACTTGATATATACTGCAGAATCAGGGGCTTGATATGAAATCGTTTCTAGTCTATTAATCTGTTTTTTTTAAATGTCTATTAGAACAGAACATATGTGTGTCTATGTACATTACTGCTGTGGTGTATGGAAGCATTTGCCTTGGCAGGGCGCTTTACGCTTTCATAACAGCTCTTTTAATAAATATTGTTGCCTGAAACACATCGTCCTCGAGGATATATAGAAAGAAAAACAGTTATTTTAAATTGTAATAATATTTGTAAAATTTTTACAATAATATTTTTTAATTTGTGAGCATTTCAAATTTTTTGCAAGTGCATTTGTCAACAATTTTGGTGTGCGTTGAGTCGCCACTTGATATATACTGCAGAATCAGGGGCTTGATATGAAATCGTTTCTAGTCTATTAATCTGTTTTTTTTAAATGTCTATTAGAACAGAACATATGTGTGTCTATGTACATTACTGCTGTGGTGTATGGAAGCATTTGCCTTGGCAGGGCGCTTTACGCTTTCATAACAGCTCTTTTAATAAATATTGTTGCCTGAAACACATCGTCCTCGAGGAGGCTTGCGAATATAAAAATGTCACTGTAAACATGAAAAGTATCATTTGATATTTACGCAAGTTTGTCTTAGACCAGTTTCATGGTCCAGTTAAGCTCCATTCTCCTTTAAGAACAAGCCATCTGGGACAAATGGTGAATGATTGCTTTACGCTCAATGAAATTCTTCCGGATGGAAAATGTATCATTCCTTGATATTCGGCTGTGAGTTCCTACTGAGACGTCCGTCAGATGATGTCAGAGTGACAGATAGAGATCCAGTCATCACACAACACTGAAGCACTTATACTCAGCAGCTGAAAATTATTAGACATTTTGCTTGGAGTGTCTCACTAAGGGTTCTGGAAGTAAAAATACTTTACATTTTCTTCAGGCACAAATTGCTTTTTAGTAGGGATGTAACGATTCACTCAACTCACGATTCGATTCGAATCACTATTTTTTTTTTTAACAAAATGAGATTCAAGACAAATTATAAATTAAATGTGTCCTTTTATTTTTGCTTGGACAAAATGCTCCACGTTTCTTTGTGAAATTGAAATATAACACTATAATAATATACTAATATAGCACTTATAGCATATAATTACTCTTTTGTTGGTTTTGATTGCTTCTATTGTCCTCATTTGTAAGTCGTTTTGGATTGTAATTTTTTTTAACAAAATTAGATTTAAGACAAATTATAAATTAAATGTGTCCTTTTATTTTTGCTTGGACAAAATGCTGCACGTTTCTTAGTGAAATTGAAATATATCACTATAATAATATACTAATATAGCACTTGCATATTATTGCTATTTTATTGGTTTTGATTACTTCTATTGTCCTCATTTGTAAGTCGTTTTGGACAAAAGCGTCTGCTAAATGACTAAATTTAAATATAATGTAAATGTAAATAACAAAACTAAATTGAAATTTTAAAACAAGCCCCAAATCAAATAAATAAGTAACACAAATAAAATAAATATCTTCATATAAACAAAATAAGGCTTTGTCTGTGCTCTTTCCATGTAAAATTAGAGGCAACCACTGCATTTTAATCATGATCCAAACAAAGATGCTGCATACATGCAACATGAGCAGTTTTTAATCTAAATTAGATTGTATAATTTCGAAATTTGAAGCAAAAACAGAATGGTTTGACTTCAGTTTTGTGAAACTATACATACAAAAATATCTGCATGAAACAGAAACAGCAGACGAGCTGAATGAGACGCAGATTCACTCTCTGCCAGCAGGTGGCACTTAAAGCATTTACTTGGTTTCGGCTGTAAACCAAGCAATGCTGCACTTAAGAACTTTAATATGCATTATACAGAGGCAAGATAAAAAGAAAAAATACCATCTAAACTTTTCTAAAGACAGTAAGTTCCCTTCAGACATACATTCATATAAACTCCTACCTCTAAATGAATCACGATTTGTTTAGCATCTCAACTGATTTGAATCGTCACATATTTGAATCGATTTTCAACCGGCTCGCGGTTAATCGTTACATCCCTACTTTTTAGCTTTATCATATAACATGCCTACCATGGCATGAGCTCCCAGGTTGTTAAGTAATGGAATATGCATAAGTACATGGGTTTTGTTTTGTTTTGTTTTCAAATTCCTGTAGAAGTAATGTGTTTTTGTTGACTCAATGCCATTACTAATATTTAAAAAGCAAAGTGGCTAATTTCCAGTGTAATGGAGAAATACATTTTAATGACAGCAAAAGAGATGTGCATTGGATTAATTTATTTTACAGGTGCATCTCAATAAATTAGAATGTCGTGGAAAAGTTCATTTATTTCAGTAATTCAACTCAAGTTGTGAAACTAGTGTATCGACATTCTAATTTATTGAGATGCACCTGTATACTATTTTCTTAAAATTCACAAAAAAAAGAAAACAGAAAATGTACACCATCCATTGATAAGGCTCACAGAAGACTAAAGCTAAAATCATAAAATTAATAAATTAAAATAAAATAAACATAAATTATATTTAAAAACTAAAACTTATTTTAATTCAGCTAGTTGGCACGACAACATTTCTTATTTTAGTTTAATTTAATCAATAAATAAAAATATCAAAAACACACAACAAAATTACTAAAACATAAAGTAATATTAAAATAAAAACAAAAAAATAAAATATAATAGTATACCAACAATACTAAAATGACTCTGATCCACCATGAAATAAATCCCCAAGCACCGTCACAGCACACACACACACCTGCTGCTGACCCAGTTTCCTTCTGCACTCCCACAGGGTGAATTACACAGAAAATTAAGGGATTTATAGAAAATAGGAGCTCATATGAAAAAGTATCATTGAAAAGAAGGAGCTGAGATTATGATTGCGACTGTGGACCGATTTGAATCATTCAAGCGTGTTTGTACCGATGACTGATTTTAGAGTCTCTAGAGCGATTCAGTCAAGTATATGAGGCAGACTGAATTCAATATTATTGATGTCATTTGGTACTTCAGTTACCGTTATTGAATGTTTCTGAGGTTTTAAGGAATTTTCAGGTTCAAGTAAAGCTCTTAATCGACAGCATCTGCGGGATGCTTTTACGTCATATCCTTCTGTTCTGTCCTTGTTTGTGTGATGCGAAAGTTTCCAGGTTTACTGGCTTTGCATGAACCAGTTGAAAATAAAATATATGGATATACACTTACATTTTTTTTTTTTTAGTAAGATAACTATTTTCTATATTAATATTTTTTTTTTTCTTGTGATGGCAAACAAGGTTATCAGCAGCCATTCCTCAGGTCTTTAATCCCATGATCCTTCAGAAATCATTCTAATATGCAGATTCACTGTTAAAGAAACATTTCTTCTTATTATCAGTGTTGAAACCAGTTGTGCTGCTTTATATTTTTGTGAAAAGAAAAAAAAAAGCTAGATTTTTTTTTCAGGATTCTTTGATGAATAGAAATAAAAAAACAACATTTATTGTCATTTTTAGTGATATAAAATGTCTTTGCTTTCTCTTTTAATCAATTTAATGCTTTCGTGTTGAATAAAAGTAATAAAGTCTCTTAAAACAAAGTAGAACTCTTAATCAGTATTATTTTCAAATGGTAAACAACGGATATCAAGAAATGAAATTGATTTTAAAGAGACTTGTTTTTGTGCAATACATACTATGCAAATAAAGATAATTTATTTCATGTTTAGTAATATAAATGTTCCCTTTTTCCTCATTGTTTGTTTGTTTTTTTTTTGGATCTGTGTCATAATTTGAAAGAAAAAAATCAACATCATTATGAATTTTTAACGGGACATGATATTCTTTACCTGCAGAAACAACAACGTCACAGGTGACTAAATGCTGAAATTATGACTTATGAAATTATGAAACATAACATGTTCTTCACCTGTCATCAACACCTGGTGCACTACTGCATAATGATTTGAAGGCACATTAATATTAACATGTTTTTTCTGTTTTCTCAGTAAACAAGTGCCCCAATCACATAGACTGTGCCAGAAAGGGGCGGCACTTTTGCAAGCCTGGCTCCTCCCACTGTGGCCCCTGCCTCTCCCCGTTGGAGGAAGATAAAGCGGGACTTTGTGTTGCTCCCAGGACACACTTTCTCCAGCACCACCACCAAGGTACGAAGGCTTTCACATAGTGCTGGGCGGTATGACCAAAAATTTATATCACGGTATTTTTCTAAATTACACCAGTTTCACGGTACATGACGGTATTTTTTTTTTCATGCATGACCACCGGGTGTTAACCATATTTTCTACTGATTGAGAGAGGAAATACTGCAGTATATTGACTTAGAATGCCCTATTTTACTGTCATGATGAGTGAATATTGTCAAAAAACACCACACTAAATAGTGACTAAACACGACCCCTTTTAATACATGTTAACCAGGAGTCACTCTCATTTATAATCGCAGCATCGTCTGATAAAATCAACATGCATCTACACTAAACAATTGTTTTGGCTATATTACTTTTTTGTCTCATGCAGCGCACTGCCTGCGTTTGAGTAACGAACTAAAAAAAACAACAAACAAAAACGTGCATGTGATATTAACAGACGAACTACGCTCATATTTATAATTCCAAACAATCAGTAAGCGACAGGTGCTAGGAAACGCTGTTTTGTACTCATTTCCCCTGCCTCTCACCGTTGGAGGAAGATAAAGCGGGACTTTGTGTTGCTCCCAGGACACACTTTCTCCAGCACCACCACCAAGGTACGAAGGCTTTCACATAGTGCTGGGCGGTATGACCAAAAATTTATATCACGGTATTTTTCTAAATTACACCAGTTTCACGGTACATGACGGTATTTTTTTTTTCATGCATGACCACCGGGTGTTAACCATATTTTCTACTGATTGAGAGAGGAAATACTGCAGTATATTGACTTAGAATGCCCTATTTTACTGTCATGATGAGCGAATATTGTCAAAAAATACCACACTAAATAGTGACTAAACACGACCCCTTTTAATACATGTTAACCAGGAGTCGTTCGTGGGACAGCACTGGCGAAATCTTCCAACTGAACCATAGCTAAGGTTTATCCAAAAAAGTCGCTAGGTTTGTCAGTATGAATATTCTATGGAAAAAAGCCCCTAAAAGGGTCTGAAAGTTGCTAAATCTAGTGCTAAAGTCGCGCTTGTGTGTGTGTGTGAGACGCGGGAGCTGATGGCAGGGGGCGGTGGATATTTGTGGCGGTCAATGTGGATATTGTGGATGAGTTCTTCTGTGTCATCACGTTCTATTAGTTCTACAGCTTCAGTTTCAGAACTTTCACGCTTAGTAACACATACAGCTGTTCCCTCACCACAGTGCAACAGTGAAAAGGGACCCCTTTCAAACAGTGTCGCGTTCTGAGCGTTGTTTAAGCGACATACAATAAATTACGGTATTGCGGTATTTTAAAAATTCATATCATAACAAAAATAAACATTAAATAAATTCATTCGGTATGAACCGGTATACCGCCCAGCACTACTTTCACACATCCACCCTACCCTCCTTTTGGCTACTGTGTCACTGTGATTTATTTAGCACCTATTGTCTAATCTGGCCTTTGCTTTGGTGTGAGTCAGGCGGCACAGAACCATTTTCTCGAGCCAAATGCTGTGCATTCATTAACCGAACCCTCGGCCTGTGACTAATGCCGTCGTGAAAGAGGAGATGATATTGATGGTTTAGACCGCAGATCCTCCCATCATCTGGCCTGTGCTTTTGCTCTCGTTTCTCTCCTCTCTCACTGTTTCTGTTGGTTTTGTGGTGAGCATAATGCTTAATCTCTCTCTCTGTCTCTCCTCGTGTGGCAGAGGCACATGACTGAATTTAATCAGATGGATTGTAAGCGTGCACGCGTGTGTCTGTGTGCAGCCTTGGCTTTAATGTAATTCCATGTGAGCACTGCATGCCCTAGCAGAAAGAAATAACACTCTTTTTTAAATCTATTGCAATACAGCAATCTTAGCTAGAGTTATGCCTTTATAATAAATATTTTTAAGTGTCAATTTTAGCGACATATGCTTTCAGAAAGAAATTTAAATTTTATGTAATTTGTAATTTTTATTAATCATTTGTTAGGTTTTATTAATGTGCTATTATAGCTGAAAAATCAAATGGTGCTCTATGCCATTTTCCATTCTTTGCCATTTCCACAAAAGGATTTGACGCATAAAACCATAAACTTGCAGCATGACAGCATAACTTTTCATTTGAACAATAAAAAAACAATAGTTCCTAAATAGTTTTTCAAATTAAACAGTGTTGGGAAGGTTACTTTGGAAATGTAATAGGTTACAGATTACAAGTTACCCTATTTAAAATATCATAAGTAGTGAAACCATTTCAATTACTTTATTAAAGGAATGTAACTGATTATATTGGATTACTTTTTGATTACTTTTCTAAATTTCTAACGAATGTTTTCAACTGTTGAAACATTTAAAACAGGCAGGGTTAACCTTACAGTAGGACTCAACACTTATTACTGTCAGACTGACTAATCAGACTTTAGCACCTCTTTTTACTTTGAGATCATTCTGAGGTTAAATACAGATTTAAAATCATAGCTAAAAAACTTTGCATAGCTATGAGACGAAACAGACATCTAACAATGCCTTGGAAAAAAATCAGCTAATCTTACACAATAAAGCATATACTTAAACCCAAAGAGGAAATAAAACAGTCATTGAATAAGCATGTGTACTATTCTGTGTTCTAAACTCCTGAAACATTGGTGTCTCATATTTTAAAGCAGTCAATGCAATTTGGGAAAGAAACCAGTCATATCTGTACGTGCGTGAAAATGTTCAGATGTAAACCCCTTTTGATGTAACTGTAATTTAATTACACATTTTTCTCAGTAACTGTAACAGATTACAGTTACATTTATTTTGTAATTAAATGACATTATTCCGTTACATGTAACTAGTTACTCCAAACACTGAAATTAAATATTTTAATATTTAAAAGACTGTCTACCCAAACATCCTTGAGATTTAAAAAAATGAACAGTTTCTCACGCATACGAAATTGACTAGAATGTCATGTGATACAGTTATATGTGAGAAATATTCAAAATGTGCATATATTAATACAAAATGTTAAGATCCAGAAAAATGTTACAAACTTGTTATTAATGGCTCTGACAACTATAATGTAGTTCCATGACAGCTATATATTCATGAACTGTTTTGAAAAATAAGATTGTACATGGCAGTTTCTTTGTTATTTTGACAAGGGTGGTCAAAATTAAACGTTAGCTGCTCTGTATTCTCAAGTAGGATAGTTTACCTTGATTTTGAAAGCAGTTTTGTCTCTTACACCTTTACCTCTGGCCTTTTGAAATGCCTTACAGAACAGTCTTAAAGATTCAAAGAGCGCAATTAAAGTGATAGTGAATGTTAGACCAAGGTGGAACCTGATGTTAAAGAGTTTACTGAGCAAACAGTCCTGGGTCACGAGTCTCTTTGCTTTAATATGGTTATGAGTGAACAACACGGGGTGTTTTAGAGTTTGAAAGAACAATAAAAATTCATTTGGATTTTAATACCCCATTATGTTTTTGCAATCCTGATTTTTTTTTTCTCCTGCCCTTGAATTTGGGCCACACTGACAAGGTATTTAACAGCCATCAGCATAACCGAAGCGTCTGCGACTAATCATCATCTGTCTATGTAGGTCAGCAGTCTCATTTTTGCAGCACTGATCAGACAGAGAGAGAGACACCGGACAAAAATAAACACCTGCCTGATTTTAACACTTACGTGGATGTGTTCATTATCATATTGACTGAAACAGACTGGCTGGTAGTACTATTTGTGTTAACTTGCATGTCAGTGAATCGCATATAATAATTGTACTTTTGTTTTTTGATTTGACTTGAATTTGATGTGTCATCACTACATTTTTTTTTTTTTTTTGAGCACTCAATTCTCTGTCAAAAACACAGTAATCACTGACCAGGGCATTTTAGTGAAGCCACCACTAGATGGCAGAATAATCGTGTCCAAACTTCAAAAATAGTCTGTATACTGCCTATTAGTTTCAGATGCCTGTCAGAGTGCTTTATATCTGGCTAGTTATAGAAAGCTGCATTATATGCTAACAGAAGTCTGAGAAAATAGTGTGTCCCAAATTATATTATGACAAAAGCAGCCAGGATTATATACTTTTTCATGAGGATTTTTGAAGTATGCATTCTTTTTTTTTTTTTTTTTTTTTTTTTTTTTTTTTTTTGAAGTCACCACTAGATGGCAGTATAATCACATCAAAAACTTCAAAAATAGCCTATATATTGCTGCTTGGTTTCAGATGCATGTCAGAGCTGTTGTAGCTGACTAGTTATAGAAAGCTGCATGATAAACTAACAAAAGTCAGGAGTCAGAGAAATTAGTGTGTCCCGAATTATAGTATGCCGAAAATAGTTGGAACAGGAACATTTTTAATATGCTTTTTCGGGAGGATTTTGGAAGTATGCATTCATGCATTTATTTATTTTTTTTGGGGTAAATTGCTTGTTTTACATGCAAATTCAAACAGTAAATGGTCTGTAGTATCAAGGCACAATTTTGTGAAAGCATAATGTCTTAACATTGCCATTCTGAAAAAAAATGTAGATGTAGAAACAATTTTCACTCAGTAAATTTCAGTTACACAAAAACAGCAAGTAGATAACCTTAGTTAAACTAAACGTGAAATTTTGAGGGAGAAAGAATGAAATAGCATCTTCCTTTAAAACATACTCCAATAATCTTTTACAATCTTTTATTTAAAACTTAAAAAAATTAGTTTTTCCCATCACCAGTGAAGTGCAGACTTGTAGTTAGCAATAAAAGTATGCAAATTGAGTAATATAATATTAGATTTAATATTAATCTTTCTTTATACACTTTTCACAGATGTGAATTATAAAAAAAAATACTCCTTTGATTTCATAATAATAATATGAATAATTACAGTTATAGTGTTTACAGATGAAATTGCATGTAAAGTTGTGGAACAAGTTGTCTACTCTTCTAGCACCTACTGAGTCAAAACTTTATTAAATTGTTCATCAGCTTTAGTCAGGCTGGACTGTTTGTGAACACCCCCTTTATGTGTAAACCACAGATTTACAGGTTCACTTGTCCCCTCAAAACAAGTACAGATGGTTTGACACCTGCTGTGGAGTGTGGGGGTGTTCAGCCAGCGATATGTGCTGTTCTATCACATCAGTCTTGTTCCAGGAGGCAGATGGCCAGTCAGCTGTAGACTAAACACAAACCTTCATGACATTAAACAGTAGCTCAAGTCTGTCAGTACTTTATGGTACAGTGCTGAGGAAAGTTTTGATATTTATAGTCTATGTGCAAGGTTGATAAGTTGCTGTATGGAAATGTCACTTTTATTCAGCAGCTCTTTGCTGACATAAGCTGTGTACAATATGCAACACCTCACCACGCAAAGCCATGGCTGTTAAATTTATGTAGGTGATCTTTATCAATGTGTCAACCCAGGCCAGAATGTTTTTTCAAGGAAGAGCAAACAAAACCAGGGCTGGGCGACCTAGGGCTGGATGACATAATGCATATGTGTGTGTGTGTATGTATGTATATACTGTATATACAGTGTGTGTGTGTGTGTGTATATATATATATTGATATTAATTGATAT